CGTCGGCGGAGGTGGGCTGCGCGCAGGCGGCGTGCGCCAAGGAGCGGTCGAGCCTCACCATCTGCTTCTACGACCCGCCGGGGAACGTCGTCGGCGAGAAGCCTTACTGATGGGGCAATTTGATTTGATTCGCGTGTGTTTTTTTAGGTGTGACAATAATGCGAGTTTACTAAATTGCCCTTGTTCTGTTTCTCTGTGATTGTTGCTGCTACCAGTTTTGGTTAATAAAAGTACAATGCAATGTTTTTGTGAATGGAGTTTTCACAACTGCATCTTTGTGCCTTTTCTTTTTTCCGGTTATTGACAGGCGTTGGTATGAACTATAACCGGTGATCACAAATTCTTGTGTGACGCAGTCTACTCATTCAACAAGTCGACCCATTATGCTCGTCGATGATCGTACAAAGAATTATGAATTTATCCATAATTGAAATTGTTTGTGTATACACTTTCCATTGCCTGACAGAGTAACCTTCCTGATTATAGTATTGATTAGGTACATACAGTGTCCTTGAAATTAAGTTTATATCATACATGTGTATGGATATGCTGATCAGAAAACATATGTAATCAAATTTCAAAGGATAAATTTCCATAATCATCTCCAGAAACTTTACACTGAGCTTAGGAAGCAAAATCAATACTTCTTCTAAACATATTACAGAATCAGAGCCCAATGTCACAAACTTATATTTCAAACCCATCTACCATTCCCAGCTCAAAAATACAATTCCTTTACAATGAAGAGAAACTATGCCAAAAAAAAAAAAAGAACGACCAACCGAAAAAACGAGGTGCACCCATATTCACCTGACGAGGTCCTTCATTATAATGTACCTGAAAGTGAAATTATGTGGGACCCACTCGATGTTTCTCTTGTTCCTCGCCTGTTGGCATTTCCTGACGCTTTTCTTCAGTGACTCGGGCAGGGAGGACTGTTGGATCATCTCCAGAATGCCAGCTTGGCATAGTCCCGAGTCCTTAGCGAACGAGTCCACGGTTTTCGGGAGAAGGATTTTGTTGTCCCTCCGGACCCCAAACGTGGCCCGAACGTAATCCTCTTTGGCTGCCTCCAGCTCCTGGTATATCCTCTCGGGCGTAAAAATTCGAACCTGAAAATTTCAATGTTTTTCATAATTTTTCGTTAGTTACGTCAGCTAGCTATTTTGCAAATTGCACACTTCATGCTTAACTTGAAACGGGGCAATTGCCGTATTTAACTCGAGTTTTTTCGTATTTCATTCATAATTAGTTGAACTTCAGGGGTATTCAAACTATTCATTGTATGAAATTTAATTACCGCAGGATCAGAGTGGGACCCTGATGAAAGCGCAAAGTGGAGAAGGGGCTCGGGTCGTTCGATACTAAATGCTTGTCGTTCGTCACCAGCTTTAAGTTTCGATTTTGAAGGAACTAGCACCCGTAGCCACTATAGACAGCAACTATAATTAGCAACGGTATTTATTTAACAGATGAATGACTGAAAAAAAGTCGACCAAAGTACAAAATCCTATTCGTACCTGTCCAGGACGAGACATTCGGCAACACAATATCAAACTCTGTATGACATCAGCGCTTACTATTTGACCACCGACATTGTAGGCAGACTGAAAGAACAGAAACAAGATTAGATTTTTTTTTTCCAGAACCTTAAATCATGTGAAGAAACTGGTTCTGTTTTCTTTTACCTTCAAGAGTAGAAACATTCGCTTCATGCTGTTCTGTGGGATGCCATAAGCCAAAAACGCCTGTTCGGTTTAATCCAAAAAAAAAAAAAAAAGAAAAAAAGAGAGAGAGAGAAGAAGAACAAGAAGTTAAGTCCAGTCATAATCGAGAACAATTGATTGCATCTTGCACGAACATTATCTTACATGCATCACCAATGCATTATGCACATTGATCCAAAAAGCCAACTTTTCCTCATGTGTCATCTTTCTAAGCTCAATCTCCTCCAGTCGGGACACAAGAGACCTGCAAAAACCCAAAGCAATGCACCAGCTTCATATAAACTGAATTCTTTCCGTATATATCTTTTTCTTTTTGGCAATTACCTAAAATTTTGTAACAAGTGCTCAACATCACTCAATTTCTGGCTATCTCTGTATATACACTGCACTTCGACCATCGAGCTATACGGCCCGCTGAAGTCCTTTAACCCCTCCACATGGAAAGGGTTATCCAATCGGACATCAAAGGAAGAATCGATTCTGAATCCCGGGCCCCACATATCACATTGTTCTTTCGGCGAGAATTCACTTGCAGACGACAGGGACGAAGTTGGGGAAGAGAGGCCGTGATTGGTCAAAGGAGGGTCAGCAAGCTTGCAGTAGATGGTGCACATGCACCTCACCATTTCCTCCGAAAGCTTGTTGGGCGTCTCGACAATGTGGTCCGAGATGCGGGTCCCGAGATGCTCGGCCAAACTTATTACGTGCGAAGATGAGTTTTGAGCAAACTGTAAGAGCAAAAAAGATGATGTTGAATTATGACTGGAAATTTTTGCAGTTATGCTAAAATATAAGGAATAGTTGTGTATGTTCTTCTAGCAAACACCCGAAAAACCATGTATTTTGAACAACCCATATCAAGAAAATGTAAAAAAGCAAGCTTTACTTTGTGCATGTAATGAAAAAACCTCTATCATGGATAACGGTTGAGACTGACAAGCACGAACAGCCTTGTCGAGGTCATCTTCTGGCGGAGAGGCTCGATATGGTTGTGATAATGTTGAGTAAGACCGTTGGACACTCGAATCTTCTAGAAACTTCTCTCCGAACACACCACCACCATTTCCCCTCATTGAATCCGACAGTGTTTGAGCTTCAGATTTAGAAGAAATTTCCCTCGAAGGCTTAATGTCCGATTTCGAGAAATCCAGTCGTCTTCTCCTAGGTGTCGTTGTTGAGGGATATTTGAATTCTTCTTTCTTCTTTTTCGGAGATAAAGATGAAATTTGTTGATCAAACGCCTTTCTGTAAAGGGAAAGAAGGTACTGTTCCAAATGCCCAACTTCTAGCTCCAATACTGAAATTTCTCGAATGAGTTCTGTGGCCGACTGGAAATAGACATCAGTAAGCATTCTATTAAACCCAAGGTCTCAAACAAGAAAATAAGTTTTTTTTTTTTTTTTTCCTTGAGTGTTGCAGATAGTAACAATTAGCATGCTAAACTAGAAACCTTAGGGATGGTGGCTTCATCTGTAATATCATGTGAGGAATTTTTGTAACCGAGTGCATTTTCCAGAGCACAACGAACAGAGATTTGATCCTGCAGTCTCTTTTCGAGCGTCGATATCTGCAAAAGTGGCAAAAATTAAAGTTGCAGTCAATGATCATTGTAAATTATGCTAAAGCTCTCATCCTAACTTCTTGAGAAAGAAACATCCAGTTTATATGATTGATATATTAAGGTGGGCTTATATTAGGAAATCGAAAAGATTTGTTAAAATAATATACATTCATCCAAATAGGCAAATACCTCTTGCCTCAATGAATTTTCAACCTGAGCATTCAATGATTGTTTCTTCTTGCTGTCGGTACAGGCATTTAATCGGCCAGTCTCCTGGCGGAAAGGAACACGATAAATTGTCATCAAAGCCCTTTCAGATTGAATTAATAGAAAAGTGGAATTTTGGATGGTGTAAAAATTAAAATCACACTTAAACAGACAATACACTTATAAAAAGGTAAGTACAAGCATTCTCACCGATTTCTGAGGATAAGGTGCTTCAGTTGATTTAACCGAGTTATTTTCTTCAGGTACTCTCTCCGGGAAGCTGTCATCGCAACAAAACAACTAAGAAAAGTAGCCTCAAACTCATCAAAATGCACTTTTCAGCTAAAATAAGCTCTCGCTCTCGTGACAAATTCGTCGAGATTCATCTCCTAGTAAACAACCATGGTTTCTAACAAAATCAGACAACTCTTATCTTAAAGGTAATACTTTGATTAATGACAAATACCAATACATTATGAAATTGGGAAATAAGGTACAGAACCACAAGAACTTCAGATTCAGACTTCCACACTCCCACACATCCATATTTCTTCCTCTTATTGCATTTTCGAATAAAAAATCCTCAAAGATTTGTAAAGAATGTTAGCTAAAAATAAAAAATAAAAAATGCAAAGGAACAAACTTCTTGAAAGCATAAATAGCTCACACAGATTAAAAAAAAAAAGTTCAATTTTCTCTACTTCCTCAGGACAAAAACATAACTATAACCAGGATTAACCTCGTACTAAACCTAAATCATTCCAGTTTTTATCAGATCAAAAATACATAAAAATTCCAAAATCAGAAAACTACATAAACAGGATACCTTTTTGAACGCTTAT